GATCTATGTCATGGGATGAGAGTTGGTGGGTCATAAGTAAAGAGAAAGCAACAAATGACGGGCAGTTTTGCCCACCTGATAAGGTAGCAAGTTATACTTAGATACTGTATCACCATGCTATTCTACACAAAGCCAACCACATTTGATATTGGAAAGTGAGTAGAGTCAGGCCTGGTCAATACCTGGACCACCAAAGATACTATTTCCAAGTACGGCTAGAAAATAATCCTGCTTGAAACTCTACATAGCTGCTGCAACTGGAGTTGATCACACTGCGCTAGACAAATCAAATGGTCTGACTTGCTACACAGCTGCTTTCTGTGTTTTTATGTTCATTGGACAGAAGCTGAACCTGTTCTAATGACCTTCACATAAGACAAACATTTTATCCCATAGGGCTCTATAGGAGGCACTGTGCTGGGGTCCCATTTTGTGGTCATGCTATAGAGGGACATTGCTTTCTATTGAAATGTTCATGGTGTTACAGAGACAACTTAATTCACGCTCTTTGCCTCCCTTCTTCCTGTGGAGAGTCTCCTAAGTGTGGGCCTTTTTATCCTGCTGTGGCATTTGAGCAAGGAAAATGAAATCTTCCAAGCAGACGTAAGGGACAACATGCTGTTGACCTAGATGGCTGCTTTACAAAATGCATTTCAAACACCTTCAATATGCTCCACTTGTTTTGACTATTTATGAAAAATATTGTAGTAAGTGTTAATGAAGATTTTTAGGTCTATTTTCTCTAGGTAATTTTAGAAATGGGATTGTAGATCACATCCCCTTTCCCTTAAAGAAAACATGCTTTATGTGTGATTAATCTACACTTGATTGGAAGCTGGGTTAATTTATAGTAAACATTTAAATGCTCAACATCTGTTGAGTAAAGCAAGGAGGGATATAGGAATAAAGCCATTGACAATACATCTAAACATTGTTTACTATATTTGCTGTACTGTTTTAACTTGATAAAGACTTGTTCATCAGAAATTCCCAGGGTTTTTCAACACAACCTACTTATTAAACAACATCATTCTTTGAAATCCCCATTTGCTTTCCTTTTTCTTAGATAGTTCGTTTTAAATAAAACCCATTTTAGTTGACATTCAGAGAAGTCAGCACAGGAGTATCTCATTACTTCACTTCACTGCTCCTTTATTTTATTTGTCTGATCAGTTCTGTGAAAAAAGATTCCCCATCAATTATGATTTTCTTTAGGAAGAAAAAAAAGCTTCCAATTCCAAAGTGAAAATACGTAGTTTGAAAATTTATGTAAGATTAAAATTATTTTCATTGTTTTTCGATGTAAGGTGTAATAGAGAGTTTTATAGAAATGGGTTGTTTCCAGGCATAATGCTATGAGACCATAATGCTAACCCAGTGATACACTACCACTTCGACTTCACCCTCTGAAGTTTCCTGCAGTGCAATTCCCTTTTTCGTGGGAAGTGGGCAGGGCTTGCATATCTGTCTATGTAAAGATGATCCTGCGAACCTGCTTGCTCCTCACAAAACAGGATATAGCCACACAGGTGGCTTCAGAAACTGTTGAGCAAGGAGGGCTATAAGAATCTAGGCAGATATTTCTTAGATGCCCTTCTCTCCACCAGCCACTTCATGGCCATAGATTGGAGGTTGCAGATTAGGGGCTATTGAAAGGTCAGTCCTGGGACTTCATCACATTGAAGCAGGGAAGTGTTTGGTAGAGTAGAGCTCAGTTTTGAAATGAAACTGTTGATTTCCCTACCTTCACCACACTGTTAAATGTATCCATGTTACTCAGTTGCACTCAAAATTCTTTCAGTTCATTTCCCATCACACTGTAATCCCTAGGCACCGCCCAACATCCTTCCCCCATATTCTTTGTGGGGGGGAAACTCTTCTCTTTGAAATGCCAGCTATTATGTGTCTTAAATTCTGGAAGCAGGGAGGGAGGGAGGAAAAGCAGTGATGCTCTCTCTCTCTCTCTCTCTCTCTCGCTTGCTGTCTCTCTCTCACTCTCACTCTCACTCTCTCAGTTGCCCCACAGAGAAGGGTGTGGACCTTGGAAAACTATAACTCCCAGGACTGCAAAGTATGGAGTTATTGTATTTAAAGTCAAGTTCAGCAGCCTTCATTTCACAGTGTCCAGAGAAGGTTCATGGACCTTGGGAAATTGCAGTTTCCAACACCATCTCATGGAGAAATGGCATTTAAAGTAATGTCCAACTACATTCACTCCACAGTGTAGATATACTCAGAGAAGGGCGTGAACCTTGGGAAACTATAACTCCCAGAAGGACTCCATTGCATGGAGCCATGGCATTTAAAGTGGGATGCAAGGGCATTCATTTCATAAATGCACCAAGAGAAGGGTATGGACCTTGGAAAATTATGATTCCCATGACTGCACAGCATGGAGACATGGCATAATAATAATAATAATAATAATAATAATAATAATAATAATAATAATAATAAATAATGACATTTAAAGTAAAAACTAAGTGAGCAAAAGGTAATGGCAGAACTTTCCTAACAAGGATGCTTTTGTCTCAACCCACAATTTCTGCTCTCACAAATTGGGGAAACATTTCATTTTAAACCTGTGAGCAATGAATGCTGTCACATTACAGAATTGGACAAACATCCGGATCATTACCAAAAAAATCCACTTCCCCACCACCTCCTGAAATGTTTGAAAAGAATGCTGGCACCCATGCTTAAAATACACAAAGAATGCTCTACTCTACACTTGTACCCAATCCAATGCAATGAACACCTTGGCCTACCACATTTTAAGTGTAGAACTCAGTGGAATTGAGTAAATGTGACGGAGTGGCTGGAGGGGATGATAAGAGAGGAACATTGAAAGCAAAGTTCCTTTAAAGAACTACTGCTGCTGCTACTGTTGTTATTGATATTGTTATTTTTACTCACCTCTCCTGGTGGCTTGAAGTGGGGCACAACATAGTGAAAGCACTTCATCATAAAACATTATGGAAAATACATATACTAAAATGTATTTCTGACTGGGTAGGCCTGCTGGAAGAGATAGGTCTTCAATCGTCTCTTAAATTGTCTCTTAAAAATTTAGCTCTTCTAGCAGGTCATTGGGGCAGCTAATGAAAAGGTCCTCTGGGTGACAGTTGCCAACTGGGTTCTGGTTGGTGGAGAAAACAATCCACAGTGGACTGAAAGTTTAAACTTTGTACTTTGTCCAGAAACTAATTGGCAACCAGCAGAGTGACTTTAAAATAGGTGTATGTAATATGCTCACTCAGATGTTCCTAGAAGTAGTCCGGCTGCCAAGTTTTGAACTAATTTTGAGTTTCACAACTTGGTACAGAGGAAGACCAATGTAAATCGCATTACAATATGTCTCTCAATGTAGCATCACATAAACTTCTGAAAGTTTCCCAAATAGTTGTACCAGTCTGTGGTATCACACAGCACAAAATTTTTAAAAAACTGCTCTGTGTCAAGAAATGTGGGGTTAAGTGTTGGAAATGTCAGGAGAATTATGACTATCTCAGGTATATATGAGAGTGTTTTCTTTAAAAAAAATACATTTATCTGTTCAAGGATAAGAAAGATTAAGCTGTGACTCAGAGCTTTTGTAATATTTTTGATTTTTTTTAAAAAGTTGATCTAGATAACAATAAGGTTCTCGCCAAAAACCCATTAGTGTCAGCAAAACACAGGAAATTTCATGAGCCATTTTTGCACACTATAGAATGGTTGAGGAAAATGTTTCCAATGACAGCAAAGGGCAAGTTATTTGCATTAATGCAGATTTTAAATGGAAATGTAACAAACTTTGCAGAGATGAGTCCTTTTCTTAATACACATGCATAAAAGAATAATTACAAACATTTTCATTCAGTGAATGATTTGTTCTCTGTTCAGTAATGTGCAATTTTGATGATGGTGATTATGATGACCCCACAGCCACACAATCTGTTCAATGAGTCCAAGTAATGAAAGCGTCTTCTGAATGAACTACACAAAGCACTTGGTGGGTATCACTCACTTATGAGTAATGTTGCTTCCCATCATGGTAACTACTTTTTAGCAATTGCAGACTCACAAGTTGCTAGAAAATTCATCATGATCAACATCCTGTTGATTCATAGGAAGGCTGCTGCTAAACTCAGAGGTTATATGGAAGCCTGAGAGGAATGGCAGGTTACATGACTATATCTGTGTTGTTGTAGGATTTTTCGGGCTCTATGGCCATAGTCTAGAGGCATTCTCTCCTGACGTTTCGCCTGCATCTATGGCAAGCATCTTCAGAGGTAGTGAGGATGCTTGCCATAGATGCAGGCAAAACGTCAGGAGAGAATGCCTCTAGATCATGGCCATATAGCCCGAAAAAACCTACGACAACCCAGTTATTCCAGCCAAGAAAGCCTTCGACAATACATGACTGTATCTGATAGCTAAAAACGATCTGACCCTTGGACTCTGTAAACCACGATTCCACTAAATCACAAGCCTCTCCTTAGTTTAATGCTCTCACTTGGCCCTAGATCCATCATCTTTTGGTTTTACACCTGCTGTTTCTTCAACTGCTCCAGATTATCTACATGTCTGATGACTCCTGATCAACATTAGAAATAGGGAGAGCCTTGGGATCAGCATTAGGAATATGCAACCACAATTGGTTGTGGGGATGAGCTCTTTCTTCCTAGCTCCCATTTGTAATTATGTCATTTATTTCACAGCCCATCTTTTCCCCCCATTTCCCATTCCCAATTTCTCTAAGTTATTATTTTCCTTTGCAAACACCCTATTTATAGTGCTGCTCCAAGAAAATACTGGGTTTCAATATGAAAAAAGCCACACCCTTCCAACAATTCACTTCTGTTCATGAATCTGATCCAAAGTTAAGCATTTAAACCCTCATTCATTTCAACAAGAGAGTTCAGCATATGCGTAGCCTGACCCCAAAGCAATCAAGGGCACCGGAAAGTGCTAAAAATTTGCCAGTTTGTAAGAAAATTGTGACCACTTCAACATACCTATTAAGGGAACCGAATCTGAAGTGGCAGGCATTATCTCTGCCACAAGCAACATGAAAACCGTCAGGGACAGCAGAACGGTGATGCCTGCAAAAGAATTGAAAAGGAGACAAAAGGTGAGCCAGGTAATGAATTCCTGAATGCTTTCCATTTAAAAATTATGAATGATGTATATCCCATCTATTAGGTATGCAATTAAGTGTTACATATTCATCTTCAGGGCTGATTTTGGAAGACCTCACTAGGTCAAAGATTAAGAAGAACATACGCTGCATAGCCTAGCATACATTTTTAACTCAGAACTGCTCCACACATTCTGCAAAATAATCTGACACTCTTCTAGAAGTTGTATAGCCTCCAAATTCATTCTTTGCATAACACCTTTCTCCTGGTTTTGAGAAGCCAACAATGGTTTGAAAAGCCAGCTTTTCCCATTCTGCATTCTTGTTACCAGAAGTTGAGCTGCCATTATATCCAGCTCCTTGGGTTTATCCTCCTGAAGAAGAGGAGGAAAATCTACCATGAGGATGACAGAAGGAACCACCACAGAAAGTACGAGAGGGTGTCATATATTTGAACATCTTCTCTTAGGACAGTGGTTCTCAACCTGGGGTCCCCAGATGTTTTTGGCCTCAACTTCCAGAAATCCTGACAGTTGGTAAATTATTATTATTATTATTAGCTTTATTTATACCACGCAAAATCTCCCGAAGGACTCGATGCGGCTTACAAAGGCCAAGGCCACTGACAAACAACAACATACAATACACAATAACTCATAAGCAAATAATAAAACATCAAGCAAACAATAAAACAGTAAAACAATGACACCGTGGCGCAATTAAAACCTAAAGGCCGGGCCAAATGTATTGGACAAAATTTAAAAAGTGCTGAACTTGACAGGTAATATGTAGAGGTATTTGGAGGTAAGTGCAATGTGCAGATAATCCTGAATCTCTAGCGAAGTGCATTCGGGATTTGAAGCCAGGAGTTTCCTATTCTGGAAAGGCACACTGGAACAGCCAGGTCTTCAGGCTCTTCCTAAAGACAGCCAACATTGGGGCTTGTCTGATGTCCTTGGGGAGAGAGTTCCAGAGTCGGGGGGCCACCACAGAGAAGGCCCTGTTGGTAAACTAGCTGGGATTCTGGGAACTGTAGACCAAAAACATCTGGGGACCCCAGGTTGAGAACCACTGTCTTAGGACTTCTTCACACCACTCTTTTGGCCAATGCCATTGCGCAGGCAATCGCAGGTGAAAGGGAAGGTGGGCAGGGCGGTTTATTTATTATTTATTTATTTACCATATTTATATACTGCCTTACTCAGCCCGAAGGTGACTCAAGGTGGTTTACAGTTGGCACAATTCATCATAAACTACAATTAAAAACATTAGCATATAAAATATAAAGCCATACAAAACCAATAAAAATACAAATCCTCAGTATCTCCTTACTAGAGTCATTTTCCAGTTGCATCGTCCAGTCGTTCTGTAGGTCTATCTTGCCTATTATACTTCATTTGCAAATGCTTGCTGAAAAAGCCAGGTTTTAACTTTTTTGCAAAATGTTAATAGGAAGGGGGCCGATATAATGTCCCTAGGAAGGGAGTTGCACAGCTGAGGGACCACTACCCCGTGTGCCATCCCTCCTCCCTTCATCACATGAAGGGGACGGGAGAGGGTGCTTTGTCACCCTTTCCCTCCCTTCATTAGATGGCAGAAAGAGTGGCAATGTGCATTGCCCCGCTGTCCTTTCTGCCATCATGGGGAAATTGAAGGGAAAATGTTGGCAGTTCCACTGGAGCTACCCAAACTACACTTTCCTCCCCGTAGTGGAGGAGAAAGCTTCTCCACTTTCTGAAGAAACTCGGCAGGGCTTGCCATGTGTCGTGTGATGAGACACGGCAGGCCTTGTCCTTGCCATGATTAAAAGTGGCAAAACAGGGCAAAAATGCCCCAAATGAGGAGGTCCTTAAAGTCAACCTTTCTCTCTGATGTGATAATTTAATTCCTCCTACAGCATCTGATATTTGTTGGAGGTTTCCCACCTAAATACTGACCAGAGCAGACCCTGCTTAGCTTCTGAGATCCAGTCTCTTTGGGGTATTTGGTCCCCCATCAGTTCTTACCCAAAGATATCTTCTCTCCAGAGTCAGCTGGCAGCAAGAAAACAAGCAACGCTAAGCCTGATATAAGGACACAGGGAATCAGCAGATTCAATCCATAGTAGAGGGTACGGCGGCGCATTGTCACAGTGTAAGTCACATCTGGATATGGCTCTTTGCAGCATTCGTAGTATAGCTCATTTCTTTTTCCTGGGACACCTGCACAGAAGCAAATTGGAAATACAAGATGAGGAGAACTGTTTGAGAGAGCCTTGTCAACAAAAGTGCTGGATGATTGCTAAATCATCCACTGTTTCTCCACTGATGAGGTTGGTGACCTGCCTCTTCAACCTGATGTCTCATTCTTCTTTAAAGTGTAGGGTTGGTGTAGAAGGCACGCATAGAGTGTTGTGGGAAAAATTCAACTTGGGGTTATTGCTGTTGATATTTTGGTGACATCTTAATAGATACAATGAGAAGTTTTTCTTTAAAACCACACAACTGGAAATTGTTGTCTGAAGCCAGTTTTCCAAATAGACAAATTGGACTGTTGATTATCACTCCTGTCCTAAAGCCACTATGCCTTAGAGATGGAAGACATGAGCAGAGATGAATGAAAGCACCAAAGAACTCTATGAAGATTCCTTCAACATCTCTCACTTACTTCCTGAAAACTGACTATCCATAGGGTCAATCTTTCAGCCCATTTGTCTCTATTTGTATTTGCTCAACTGTGTTTCTTAGGAACTGAATCCACTAGTTCAGTGGTTCTCAACCTGTGTGTCCCCAGATGTTTTGGCCTTCAACTCCCAGAAATCCTAACAGTTGGTAAACTAGCTGGGATTTCTGGGAGTTGTAGACCAAAACACCTGGGGGCCCACATGTTGAACCACTGCACTAGTTAGTCCTGAACAAAGGAGGCCCATTGAATCAATGGGGTTTCCATAAGTGCTGACTTCTCAAGATTGCACTGACTTAGGGGTTCAGGAATTCCCCAATTTTACAGAAATAGGAATCGACCAAGTACCTTTCTGCCAACAGTATAGTATCTTGGTGCTGCCAGACCTAGTTGGGTAATTAATTCCATAAATCCCTGCAACTGAGCCCTTTTACAAGTGGAAAGGAGAAGTTAGATCACTGACCATTCATATTCCAGTGACTTACAATGTCTCCATTAACTAGCTCTTCAGATGCATCCAAACTGTAGACAGAATGCAGTTTGACACCATTTTAACTGTTATGGTTCAATGCTATGGAATTATGAAAGTTGCAGCCTTCTTTGATGAAGAGTGCTGGTGCCTCAGCAAACTACAAATCCCAGGATTCCATAGCACTGAGATTAGGCAGCTAAACGTGGTGTCAAACTGCATTGATTCTAAAGCCTTGATGTATCCGCCCCATTTATTCTCAAAAACTCCTGTGAATGCAATTTATTTATTTACTATATTTGTATACTGCCCTTCTCAGCCCTTAGGCAACACAGGGCAGTTTACAATGGCAACAATTTGATGCCCCAAAACACCATAAAACATTTAAAAACATTAACACATAATATAAAACCATAACAAGAATACTAAAAGCATACATCATTTGCATCTCCCAATAAAAACATTGTCTGCTAATAAATTCTGCTGTTTGGAGAAATAAGGTAAATGCAATCACTGCTGTTCAACATTTAGTTCTCTCATGGGGTCAATGTAAAATTCTGGACATTTAACTGCATACATGTACTGAAAATAGTATTTATAAATCAGACCAGTAATGAAATAATAACCTAGACTAAAAATTGCATTCTGGCCATTATCAGCATTCCTTAAGATTTGTCATAAAAAATATAGTATCCACAACTCCTCTGGCCAATTTCATTACCAAGACTGTCGGGTTTAATTGCCCATTTTTCAAGCTCTCCATCAGGTGCAAACAACAATCAATAGTTATTACAATGTTCAGCATAGAGCATGATGGGTTACGGTTTTCTCAGCATGTTTATAGTACAGTCTGAGCTGAACTAATTTATATTTCTTTTGTTTTTGTACAGAACAAACATCACCTTTGTTTTTCATATATTTTATGGCACCTCTTTCCAGGAACCTTTGTTAATTTACATCAAGGCTGTGAATTCTCCAAGCAAGCTCTATAGGAAGATGCCTGGAGAAGCTCACCAGACTTGGCCAAAACTGCTGCACCGTTTGAATACAAGCCCTAAAAGGCGAAGCCTGGGGAAGCTCTGAAGCCTCAGCTTAAGAAGCGATATTTTTCATACTGAGCCTTTAGAAATAACACACCCTGGAAGATCCTGCCTGGATTTGGGGGAGTTTCTGAAATACAACCTTTCAATGTGAAAAAAAAAAAGAACAAACATTTAGCTTTGTTAGCAGCCGTAGGATTTCACAATGAGGAAAATGAGACTTTCTTTCTTCAGCTCAGCAGCAGCATTGATTACTTAAGGAATCGGATTCTGGACTTCTGTTGACATTGTAAAATTGAAACAATAGGCCTGATAAAGACAGATAAAATTATAAGCTCCTGTCTCTAAATACAAGTTTATGGGTAATAAATACTCTGGGCCCAGGCACAGATCTTGAATAAAACAAGTAACTTGGGTCCTTTCTGTGAAGTCCCAAATGCCAACTGATCAAAAGGCAAAAGAGAACCTACTGGGTTTGATTTTCTATATATCTTTAAGACTAATGGCATATAAATATTGGAGGTGAGACCAAGCATGCCAGTCAGATTGTTTGGCAGAACAGAGGAACACCCCATTGGGTTTTCAATATGTTATCTAAATTAAAAGACGTCAGAAGATCTGAAGGACTGAGGTTCTGGCATCCTTCAGCTTCCTGGACTAGTGGGGTTCTGGACTATGAGGTTAATACCTGGCCTTCCTTTAGTTCCTTACCAGCATTTAAGAAACCGATGTCAAATCTCTACAACAACTCGATACTTGAGTAGATCCACACTGGAGACTCTGTACATAAGGAAAGGAGAAACTTCCCACTTCACTTATTGTGTTTTGCATGTAAGAATGAAAATGCTCAGAGATGTAACTGAGTCTTCTTATCTGGACGTTTTAAACAGAGGCAGGATGGCCATGTAGTAGGAATGCTTTGACTGTATGTTCTTGTGTGGCAGAACTACATGTATGCTTCCCTCCCATCTCATTTTTGTGGCATTTGGAGAAGAACTTTGCTTTCATGCAATATACAAAATATTTTATTTTACCTAAAATATTTTGTTCAACAGGAATATTTGTAAGACAATGATTCAAAGCAAAATATATCCAAAATGCAAACAAATCTCACAATTGATTGTTGTAGGTTTTTTTGGGCGATATGTCCATGTTCTAGAGGCATTCTCTCCTGACATTTTGCCTACATCAAATGCTAATCAAGGTGGTCAGTTGAAACATTCACACCTAGCTCCAATAGACAAGAGTGCTTTGTCCCACTGTGGTCATTCCACAGATATATAAACCCAATTTTCCTAGTTCCAATAGACCTCACAACCTCTGAGGATGCTTGCCATAGATGCAGGCAAAACGTCAGGAGAGAATGCCTCTAGAACATGGCCATATAGCCTGAAAAAACCTACAACAACCCAGTGATTCCGGCCATGAAAGCCTTTGACAATACAAATCTCACAATCTTTTCCAGCAACTGGGAAGAATGTAGAATCATAGAGTTAAAAGAGACCTCAAGGGCTATTTAGTCCAACACTTTTCTGCCATACAAGAACACAGTCAAAGCATTCCTACCACATGGCCATCCAGCCCTTGTTTAAAATCTCCAGAGAAGGAGACTCCATCACATCTTTGAACGTTTCCATCTGAAGATGCCAGACATAGATGCAGGCAAATCATAAGAAAATACAGCTCAGAACCCACACAACACCCCCAATAACATCTGCATTTTTCACTACAAGATTTTTGTATCATTAACTACTCATTTACTGCTATTATCTTTGCCTTCTATTTAGTTCTTTTTCCTTTTCTTTTGTTTTTTCCTTTTTCTTCTTTCTCCCTTTGCCCATGTTACTTCGGGCTGAGAATTGCGGTATATAAGAGCAGTAAATAAATAAATAAATAAATATTTTATTTTTTTGTATTTTAAAAGAAAATTTCTCAATAAAGATTATTAAAGAAAAAAGATTTCTGCATCATAATTACATTGCAACACAGTAAATCCCCGCAGTCCTCATTTTCTAACCGACAGTGCCTTCTTCCTCCATGACTAGAAAGCCACTGACTTACTTTCCTGTTCCCTTCTCCAAATGATCTTGAGTGCAACAGGAGGAAGCAGAACTTCTCTCACAACCCTGCTACATACTGAAGATTGCTCACACGAGAGGGAATGAGAACCCACAGCCAGCAGCCTCACTATTGACAGAGGAACAGACTCCCAGTGATCCTAGTAACTGCCTTCTAAGTAGCTACTGGTGGGATTTTAGTGGTTTCTACATAGACCCTAAACTAGGGACTACCCAGGGATCACGAATGCATAACAGTCACAAGTGTGTAGTTCTAGGTTATACATGCATAACTGCTATAGGTAATTCCAGGCAATGGTTTTGTTGTTGTTGTTGGGTTTGGGGGGGGGGGGGGCACACATAGTTTTTTTCTTTAAGGTATCAGAAACTGAAAAATAATCGGAAATCTGCAAAAATGCCACAGGAATTAAATCTATTAAGTTCCTTAAATCAATGGGATTTACATAAATATTGTTACCCCTGCTCAACAACTGATTCAATCCTTCTGCTTCACGGGCATTTCCAAAAAGATTCATGCAACCTACAGGAGGGAAAGCGTTTGAAGACTGGATTTCATCCATGCGCAAGAATGAAACTTCCCTTGTGTGCACTTCAATGTGACTTGGGGAAATTACTGCTCACACCTGATGCCAAAACACACAGAAATTGTTGCTCAGTTCATCCTTCTCCCAAGCAAGATAGAGGAGTCTCCTACAAGGAGATGCAGGAGGATCAAGTACCTCTGATTCTGCTTTGCAACATGAAGTAGATGTTTAGGAAAAAGAAAGACAGAAGATAATTGTCCTAAACTAACACACTTTAGGAATGATCCTCTGGAGTTGTTAAAATTCTTTAAGAAAGCCAGCTTACCCACTAAATCCCATTCGCCGTTTGATATGTAATTAGAAATATCAGCTTCAAGCATCTGTAGATCAAGGAGCCAGCCATTATGCGTCCATGAGCCAAACTTCAAATCGCATTTCTGCACGTCGAAAGGAAACCAGCGGACATCAATGTAACACGTGCTCTTCAAGATCCCTGTAATTAGAAATCTGTTTGTGAATTTTTCTAAAAGGGAGAAAAAGTGTGATCTTCAAGGCTTGAGTGAAATGGGATGAAATTGCACTTGTATTTGCCTGCAATCAAGAGTTCAAAGGAGAAGACAGCTTTGAAATGCATCCTAAATTGATCTGCTAACAAATGGTGCCTATTAATTTTAAGTTTCAGACACGGCCTTCAGAAGCATTATCAGATGAAAAAGACTGAAGAAATATCTAGAGCCTCAGTTAAACTGAATGGCATTTATGCCGCCAACATACAGATCTCTAGTTTCCTTTTTTCTTCTTCCCTTTATCTTTATCTCAGTGAGAGACTGATTATATTACCCATCATGCTGCAAGCAAAACTGACTGCAACAGCACAATTGCTATGTGCGATGCAGAAGTCACTCATACTGCTGGTTTTCTCATACCAGTGTCTCATGTCTCTCTCATCACCAGGCAGGATGATGTTTACTGGCTCTTTTTCCTTCTGAAGAGACACTACTGCCAGCACTTGTTGTTCCAGTTCGATGAGCAAAATTGATGCCTTTGGTTGCAAATGACTGTATTGTCCAGTACCTGTCAGAACCAGTGTTCTCAAACATCTCGCAGTGGTCTCGTGCCATTCATTCCATTGGGTCTACTATCTAGAAGGGAAACTATAGGCAATTTCTCCTGCTTGTGGAACCTACACAGTTTTCCTGCTCTTACGGTGTTGCTCCCTTCCTTCATTGTGCATCACTTGTTAGTCAAGAAAGTTTCCCATCTGTGCCACCAGACTACATGTCTTTAGTGGGACTGCTGTCCAAGGCACAGCTTGGAAAAGTTATCATTTTAAAGGCTATGTTTAAAGTTAATTAAATTGTAACTTCTCAATGTTCATCTTCTAAGTAAAATTTAAGATATTTCTGAAATTTATTCTGTTAAGCTTAATAACATGTTACCATAAAAATCATTTAAAATGATTAGAAAGGGTCAAGGTGGCAAAAAAAGACAAAAGAAACAAAATAATGTGAAATGTTAAGCATTATTGGGCCGAGCTAGCACAGTGGATTAAACTACCAACTATAGAAGATCCTGCCAAATAGAAGGTTGTGGTGAGCTCCCACCGTCAGCCCAGCTTCTGCTCACCTAGCAGTTTGAAAACAACAATGTAAGTAGATAAATAGGTACCGTTTGGCGGGAAGATACAAGGCACTCTGAAAAACATGCCACCAAAAATCCAACCAGGAAAGGAGTCCATGGATGACAGACTCCTCGGCATGGAAAATGAAAGAACAACACCTCCCCATGGCCAAGTCGAGCACAGCCGGTTGCCGGAGATGGAAAGAGGCAAACCTTGCCTCTGTTTATGTATTGTCAGTCTCTGCCAATTGTATAACGGCATTGAATGTTTGCCATACATGTACCTTTAAGTTCCCTCAGGGACATAGAGCGGAATATAAAGAAAGTATATTATTATTTGTTTTTTAAAAAAATAAAAATCACTTTCAAAATCAGTGCTAAAATGCTAACACAATACTTAATAAATAATAATAATAATAAAACTTTATTTATACTTCGCCACCATCTCCCCAAGGGACTCGGAGCGGCTTACATGAGGCCAAGCCCAACAACACATCAATAAAACAAAAGCAATAAACAAAAAACAATAAATACAATACAATTAATATAAATCACATATAAACAATAACCAATAAACAGTAACATACAAGGATTTGAAAACCTATGGCCGGGCCAAATGTAATAGTTTAAAATTTTAAATTGCTGTGGGTCTTCAAGTAATTTTCCACAATGAACTCATCACGGGTTATCGTGGGAAGAAACGTTCAGAGGGTATTTGTCTTTGCCTTCCTAAATGGAAAAGAGAGTGTGACTGGCCCAAGGTCACCCAATGGGTTTCTACGACTGATGGGGCTTCAAACCCTAATCTACAGAATTATAGTCCAACGTTCAAACCACTGCATCACACTAGCTCTCACTAATGACCTGGAAGTGACATTAATTTTTTTAAAAAAAAAAATATTTACAAGCTTTTGTACAATGTAATTGTTCCACTTCCAAGCCAAACCACCAGACATTATCTGTCCAAGGGTCAAGATTCAGAACAAACATTGGGCTCCATATTTAGAATGCAATTCATCTACACATACACACAAATAATGGCTATCAGGGAATTCGATCTAGGCAGCTTCTAAATCACAAGAAATACCACAGTCCATTTAATTACGGAATAGGAACTAAGTGTAGCCATGCAGTTCTCTACAATTAGTCCAAAATTCTTCCAAGTGATCAAGACATATTATATTGTTATATTATTATTATTTTGCTATTAATACTCTACTTTTACCTCTTGAAACAAGACCCAAAGCAGATCACAACCAATTAAAAAACAGAAGTAAAAATTGAAATAGAATTAAACAAGAACAATAATTAAAACAATTAAGTTAAAAATAACTTAAGAATACATAAATAAATATTTAAAACACAGTGCTTATACTATTTTGATTTTTTTCCACTATTATTACTTAATTTTTACTAAGTTGGGCTGAAAGTGTTTTTGCCTAGAAGAAAAGTACCTGGATATGTGGGGTTGTGAGACGATAAGCAGTGGGCAAGGGCAGGATTCAATCCTTGCCCATCTATTTCCTTTGATTTTTTTTTAATCAGATCAGTGAGTATGCCTACAGAGGTAACGTTTTGCCCATTTTGTTCTCACAAGATAGAATGAATTTATTTGTTCGATTTTCTCTCCATCATGAGAGCATCTGTGCAGTTTTCAAATACGTTTTGGCATTTCAGAATTTATCCCCACCTCACTGCCACTTGTTGTGTCACCAATGCTGTCCTGCTCCATTTCCCCTTCTTCTTCATCTCTTCCCTCTCCAATCTTTTCTCCCTTTCAGCTTCTTCCACTGTCAGCTTTCTTTATGCCAAAGCTCTTTCTCCTCTCTGATCCTGTCTTTTCTCTTCTTCTCTTTTTGCATTCCTGGCAGCAACAGCCAGAATGCTGGAAGAGTGACAAGAGGACTGCCTTATATCCTCCCGTAGTAAAACTTACAGTTTCTTTCCTGGTAAAGGATCCAATTCATTGACATGTCATCCACCCATTTAAATGACTGGCTTCTCGAAAAGCTCTAAAATAGGTTTCTGGGAATGGGACCAGTATGTGGAGAAGGAGATTGTAGTCTCCGGTTCCTAAACAAAAACATATCTCTGATAAATCAGGATTGACATTTCTCATCTGGGTCAGAGGTTTGACCAAAGTTCTCCTTGCTGGTGCTTTCTGATGCAGGAAAAAAAAACCTCTTTTTGTCCACTCCCTTGGCCTATGTGAATATTATTTCCATTCCTACCACAATCTTGCTTTATACATGTGTTTTAAAGCTCAAAAATATATCACCATATGTGGACTGCACCTTCATGAGAAAGGTAAAGGTAAAGGTTTCACCTTGACATTTATTTATTTATTTTTATTTATCGTGTCAGGGCAACCAGTTGATTATATTACATTTCTAACAGAACAAAGCAAACAAACAGACAAAATACAAAAATTGTGAGTTTGGTAGTTGATTAAATGTCCTTGTATCTGGCCACTTGGGGTGCTTCTGGTGTTGCTGCAAGAAGGTCCTCCATTGTGCATGTGGCAGGGCTCAAGTTGCATTGCAGCAGGTGGTCAGTGGTTTGCTCTTCTCCACACTCCACTCCACACAACCTTGCCATTAAGTCTAGTTGAGTTTGACTCTGGGGGTGATGCTCATCTCCATTTCTAAGCCAAAGAGCTGGCATTGTCAGTAAATGCCTCCTAATTCGTGTGGCTGGCATGACTGCATGGAGCACCGTTACCTTCCTGCTGAAGCAGTACCTATTGATCAACTCACATTTGCATGTTTTCAAACTGCTAGGTTGACAGAAGATGGAGCTAACAGTGGGGGCTCACCCTGTCCCGTGGATTCAAACCCAACATTCCAGTCAGCAAGTTCTGCAGCTTAGCGTTTTAACCCGCTGCACCATTGCAGCCCCAACTTGATCATAGTTCAAAGGAGATCAGAGTACATAGATCAGATTGGGGTTCAGTGTAGGGGAGACGAGGATAGTTGATGCATGTATCTATGGCTACCTGAATATTTGTATTTTATTTTAAGAGGACTAGATGTATGTTGTATGTTGTATGTGGTGTGTGCACTGTCTGTTTTTGATAAGGCCAACTGGCTAATCAATAAAAATTGTTGTTGTTGATCATAGTTCAGTGAAAAACCTTGATTTCCTAACTTACTGACAAACAGGAAGCAGAATGTATTGTCAAAGGCTTTCATGGCCGGAATCACTGGGTTGTTGTAGGTTTTTCAGGCTATATGGCCATGGTCTAGAGGCATTCTCTCCTGATGTTTTGCCTGCATCTACCTCTGAGGATGCTTGCCATAGATGCAGGTGAAACGTCAGGAGAGAATGCCTCTAGACCATGGCCATATAGCCCGAAAAACCTACAACAACCCAGGAAGCAGAATGTTTTTCACATCCTGCATTTGCAATATCTTTAAATTAACTAAACCTAGACCAAACCTATGGAGTGAATTTTCCAATTTCATTAAAGGACCCACAACTGTTAAATTATCCCTTTGAATTTATCTCACCTTGTGATGTTTTGCAACATAACTAAAAACAGCAGGCACAGAAAAATCTGCTTTAAATGCAATGTTTCTCATAAAAATATGAAATGGTGCTCCATGCTCCATTACTCAGGTTTTTGTCTACACAATGATATCCTTTCTCTCTGTGTAAAGCAAGACAAACCCTGAATCCAAGCCAACCAAAATTAAATAGAGGGCAGTAATTTGTTTGGAAATCTCCAAAGGGTCTGAAAGTGAAGTCACGGGTGTATTGCCCTGCTTTCAACTTCAATAAAAAGGTTTGACAGAACTTTCTAAAACTGGCAATCACTTGTCAAATCAGAACTGTCGGTGGAACAAAGTGTGTGTATAAACATTGGGGAGTGATGCTTTTCATGCAGTGTGGCAGACTGCTTAACCAGTGGTGCGCAATGTAGATTTGCTATGCCTCTATAAAGATACCTCCTGTCTGATAACAACTATATTGCAATTAAAAGACAACATGAGCTAAAATGTCCTTCAATCTATAGACAATTTTTTTCTCAAACCCATGCTTCACTTCCATTTATTTCTGTAATTATTTGCCCTGATTTTGACCTACACTCCCAACATATTATATTATATGCAGATATAAAACTATCTGCATATGTAATACATACTGTCACATACCAGAGCTGACTTTCTATACAAATAATGTTTACCCTATTTCAAACCTACTGTCTACATCCTTAATTCATTTTTTTAAAAAAAATCAGATACTTGTGTATAGCTGGAATTCCATGCATGCATATCTCAGAATAATTTCCACAAAGGTAAGTGGGGTTTTACTTTTGAGGACACAAACACTATCAGCTTTTCAATGTGTCTCTTATGACCTTTATTTCAACAGTGCTGTGCTATGAAGCATTCTTAGATTGCAATCTTAGACATTTTTCTCTAAGAACATGTTCAGGAATTCAGTAATTCAATTTCAGTAATTTGAATCAATGCACATAGGATCGAACTGTGACATCCTCAAGCCTGACATGTTCAGTCCACATTTTTTTCTCACTGAAGCAATATGAAACACATACACAGCAAATTTATATAGTAGATTATGGTAACAGAGAGAGCGCAGTGGGTTAAACCACTAAGCTGCAGAACTTGCTGACTGGAAGATCAGTGGTTTGAATCCGTGGGATGGGGTGAGCTCCCACTGTTAGCCCCAGCTTCTGCCAACCTAGCAGTTCAAAAACATGCAAATGTGAGTAGATCAATAAGTACTGCTTTGGCAGGAAGGTAACAGCACTCCATGCAGTCACGCCGGCATCAATGCCAGCTCTTCAGCTAAGAAATGGAGATGAGCACCACCCCAAGAGTCAGACTCAGCAAGACTTAATGTTGAGGGGAAACATTTACCTTTACTTTGGTAACAGAATAACAACTAACAGTCATGTCCTTGGAGGCATCACCAGACAATGCCAGCTCTTCAGCTAAGAAATGGAGATGAGCACCACCCCAAAAGTCAGACTCAACTAGATATGAGGGGAAACCTTTACCTTTACTTTGGTAAACAGAATAACAACTAAGGGTATATCCAGTTCATACAATACTGTATTTGCTTTAGCTGGTTGTCAAATTCACAAAGAAACTTCATATTGTAAAACATTTGTAAAGATCAAGGTTTCCTAAACTCTTAAACAAGAACTCCATTGAATTTGTGTGCCAGAGTAATTAAAGCATATGTTAAAAATACATTGCACAGCAGAAGCCTTCTAATGCGGATTTGTGCATACTGCATACCAATTCCTTATGTAGGCAACAATTCTTTCTTTACCAAAATAAAAGACTAAAAAGTGTCCTACCTGGAGGTATATACTGACAAGCTCCCGAGTAGTTTACCAAAACATTTGTGTGAAATGTCGCATCAAATCTCTCGTCTGCACTACAATATAGAACAGAAATGGTTCAGTGAACATTGTTTAGTGATTGAATAAGCACAAAATATCAAATCCATCACATCAACATCAGAAACAGCATCACTATAATTTTTGTATTTTTAAAAAATCTACATTAGTCAATGCACCATAATACTCAAAATTATTGGCTTTACATAAATATCACAAATGCTACTATAATACTGAGTAAACTTTAAACACCTAACCATGTGCTATCAAGTGGATTTTATTACACTATGTAACAACATTTGAAAAAACATTCTGTTCCTGGTTTGAAAGTGTTATTTTCTGTTTAATAGTGCAGTATTTGTTTTGAAATTAGTTGTTATCCTCCAGAAACTTTGGTTTTGTGGCTGCCACAAACTATGTTGAATTGATTGAGGCTCTATGAGATATTCATTGAAAAACTATAGCAAAATGTGCTGCAGGATGTCCCAGAAAAACATAGTTTTTGCAGTTTAATAAACTTTTCTCATGTTTTTATGAGAGAGCCAATTAGGAGATGACATGTACAACCCAGGAACAAAAACTGTGTTCTGTAATGTTATCTATAGGTTTTTTGTGCAGAATTAACTTTAATTAATAAATAAGAATAAGAATAATAACTCCCCAGGGGGACTCAGGGCAGTTTCCAGGCGGAAAGTAGTAAACGTTCAATGCCATAATAAACAAACAAACCAAATCAAAACAATAAATTAAGTAGCATCAGTATAAACTTCTAATGACTAACCACACAAATAAATAATTAAAAATAATCCTTTTCATACACATTTACATTATAATACGATCTAAATAATTAAAGTACCTTAAAAGTATAATATGGTGAAGAAGATGTTATATATATATAATGTTATATAAAATAATGATGCAAATCAGCCAAAAACGCCAAGGTGGGTTTTCAGTATCCAAACGAGGTTACATATTAAGATCCTCTAGGTTACATATTACATTCAAACTTAATTGGATTCAAAGTTGCTATACTGAACTTGAAGCTTATCTCTATGTTTAGTGACAATAAAATAACACATCAATGCATGTGCATAGATGGAATGATTACACAACCCAACCCCCCAAAAAAATACTTTTTCTTGGTGTCTTTGTTTTTAGGCTTGTTCTTGGGTTTATTTGGGGCACTGATTCAATTGCATCAGTTCTGTTTTCTGAGATATAGCTATTATGATTTTCTATGGGCAAGCAGATGAAGACTGGTATATGTCATAAGTTCCGTATCTCAAAAACTAGAGCCAACAGGGGAAAACTGGTGCCATTTTTTTGAATCAGCAGAACAATTATACCCAGAAACAAGATTAACATTTGAGAGGCACCAAAATGTGTGCTGGCCAGTGTTATAGATGCTGGCAGTGTTGTCCAATTCGTGATCCAGATCCATGGATTGGACAACCCCCTGTTGATCAATGCATCTGACCGTCTGGCCTGAGGGTGGAACCACTGGAAGAACAACTTGATCCCACCCATCCCTTAAGGCGATCCCCCCCCCTTCTTATCAGAGACAGTAATTAATGTCCCGGGTCCAATACTCACATCCCCAAAAGCTGTAACAAGGTGACACTACAAAAAACAAAGATGGCAATGCACATGCACATAATTGCAAACTACAACACAGAAAGTGGGTGGGTGGGATTATGCTCAAGAAACAACGGCTGCGCATTCATGGAAGCAGAGCAATAAATAAGGACCACCTGACCAGATTAAAACCTACATCTAGGTACTCTGACCAGATACGCCATCCAGTGAATGCAAATTGTGGATTCATTGGCTGTGGTGCCCACTTCCTACAAGGGTTGCATCAAGCTGCACAGACCCCTGGTAAGAAGGAGCAGATGTGCTGACATGTCAGACAACTGCCTGCCCCAAACTGCAGACTTACAACACAGTAAGTCATGTTTTTATTTACTTCATTTGTATACCGTTTTTCTCACCCCGTTGGGGGGAACGGGGACTCAAAGTGGTTTCCAACATATTCACGGCAAAATCCAATGCCTCACAAACATATGAAAATCTAACATAAAACAACAATAACATATAACTATCAATTAAATCATTGCATTCTGAGTCAACACTGATTCAGAACGCAAAGAGGATAAACCATGTTTTTACTCTGTCCTTAGAGCAGTGCGTTAGTCTCTCAAAACTTAAAAAGGAAGAAAGAAAAGGTGGCAGCACCTTTGATTTTTTTTTTTGTATGAGCTTTTTTGGTTGCTTTTAGAAAACATAACTTCCAATCAGTCTGTTGCTAAATATATACGTGCAGCTACTAACGAAGTATAATGTAGTGCTCTTTTTCTTGAGCCACATCTAGACTAAGAGTGGAAAATACAATAGACTTCTGATTCTGGTGTATTGAAATACCTATCAATTACACTGATCTTAAATCTGCCATCTGGATTTCACCACCATCACTAGCTGGATGTCCAGTAAGCCAGAAGGTGATAAAGGAACTCCAGACAGAAAGAGATTAGCTGACCAATGGCAAAGGATACTTGATAGCCTTGACCTAAAGAGAAAAGAGGGGGGAACCATGCCCGTTTCATTTATTTATATGTTGTTGTTTGGTAAATGGCATCAAAAGATTTATGTGCAGGATTGTTCTCAGCAAAATTGTATATACAATTCCAGGTTTAGCTAAATGTTGGGTACAAGATACCAAGCATAATGCTTCCACTATACTGTTTAGCTTAACATGCTTTTAAAAGGATAAAAATAATAATTAATTACATTTGACAGAACATTCTTGAATAATTGAAATAATAACTCTGAAACTTAATAAAACTATGATGAACCAATTTCCAAGCTGCTTTTCTGTTTTGAAAAGCTAGCGTCATACATGGCTTCCTTACCTATTGTATAGAAGAATGTCAGGTACCCAAATCTGATCCGATGGGAATCTTAAATTCTGTACTCCTGGGTATTCATATTGATCCCATGACAAATATGCATCAATCCAGGACTGCAAAGAAAGAGACTTATGTTACTAAAGATGCCAAGCAAATCTGTTCCTATACTCCCTGAATAACTACCCTGTTTCCCCAAAAACAAGCCCTATCCTGAAAATAAGCCCTAGCTTAATTTTACAGGATTTTTGGGAATGCTCAAAATATAAGCCCTACTTCAAAAATAAGTCCTAGTTACAGTTCATTAAAAAGTCAATTTCAATAGTGTCTAGGCAGAAATGTGAAATCTTTTGGAGCAAAAATTAATATAAGATCCTGCTTTATTTTCAGGAAAACAGGACAGTACAGTTTAGATATTATTACGAAGGTTGAATGAAAAGTAATGCCCCCACCTTCATTTTTTGGATTTGGATGGGAATATTTTAATAAATCAAATGCAGAAATAATCCTTAGAATGTGCTCTTTATCTATCACTATTCACTTTCCCACATAATCAACAGACAATTGGATACATTTCTGCCAACGATGAACAAGTTTTCTGAAGCTGTAACGGAAGAAGCTGACACTCTGTTTCCACAACCCATTGTGCACAGATCTTCCAATAGCCAAGCAAAGCAATAATGTGATCCACATGTTCTAGTGAAATACTGATTATGCTCAGGGTTCCATACTTTGCACTTTAACAACACAACCGTTCAATGCTAAGGCTTCCCACCAAAATGGAACTGCAGAGGAGAGTCTACTAAACAAGCCAGTACCTGCCGCATACCAGTACTGCCATCTGTTGAGGAGTTACGAAGGTGGAGGCATTACTTTTCATTCAACCCTTGTAACTCATGAAGGCATTACATGACACCCTAACAATATGAATGAATATTCACAAATATGGAAAGCTTGTCTTAGTATCAGGAATATATTGTCTTGGAAGGACTTGCAACTATTAAGTTATCTGGCTGCATTCAAGTGTGGTGGAGAATAATATGTCAAAATGAATATAGAAGAAATATTATACTGATTATACTGCTAGGTCACGAAGACTTTGTATATGGGCAGGACAGGGACACCATCTTGGTCTTTGGCCCAAGCATCAAATTGTCTTACTGCCTATACATCATTTCTTCAGACGCAACACGTTCACCTCTTCTTCTAATGACTTCTAATGAGTGCAATGACATCAGTGTTGGCAGTATTACAATGTCAACGGGACAGGATTTTACACTTTGGAGAGCTCCTTGAAAGGTCACACTAAAAGCCAGAGAGGATTTGCTCCTTTGTAACTCTGGTGCCACTAGATGGCACTACATGTAATCACAGAAATATATATGAAATCTGGAGAAATGTTCAAGCCACTTTGGAGAATTTTTACACATAAATAAAAGCACATCCTACTATGTGACATCATTCTCATCTTGTCCCAAACCAAGCTTCAAGTTGTCTGAAAGTGGTAGTAGATTAAAAACAGTTAGGACCACTTGCTTCTGAACCTCTTTCCATCCAGCTTTAATAACCATATTTTACTGTGCAAGGAAAAAAATGGCTCTGCAATTTGGTGGATGTGGGGCGGGGGGATTGAGAGTAATGTGACATCCATTGTGGGTTATGTTTCACTTCCTGGTGACAAAACAAAAAACAACCCTTTCTCTCTGATCGTGAATTGCATCTCAGCAATAAGGATAGAACTGGACTTTTTAACAGCCATGGCTTTTGTTTTTGTTTTTGTGTCAGGAGCGACTTGAGAAACTGCTAGTCACTTCTGGTGTGAGAGGATTGGCCATCTGCAAGGACGCTGCCCAGGGGACCCCTGGATGTTTTGATGTTTTACCATCCTTGTGGGAGACTTCTCTCATGTCCCCGCATGGGGAACTGGAGCTGACAGAGGGAGCTCATCCACACTCTCCCAGGATTCGAACCTGAGACCTGTTGGTCTTCAGTCCTGCCGGCACAAGGGTTTAACCTGCTGCACCACCGGGGGCTCCACACAGCCATGGCTGAATAGTATGGAATAATGAAAATGGCAGTTTCACAAGGTCTTTAGCCTTCTCTGCCAAAGCGAGCTGATGTCTCCCCAAACTACAACTCCCAGCATCCCTTAGCATTGAGGAATGGTAGTTAAAGGGGTATCGAACTGTAAATGCCATTGAAAGCTGAATGAAGTTTGGATTTCAATTGGATTCACTCTCCCAAGTCTATCCCAAGAGTGCATCTGCACTGTAGAATTAAAGCAGTTTAGGGAGGCAACAACCATCTTTTGCAGAGAAGGCGGAAGATGTTGTGAAATGACAGCTCCCAGGATCCCATAGCATTGGGCCATGGCAGTTAAACTGGTGTCAAACTGCAAATCCCAATGAAATCTGAAGTTTTAATTCCAGTGTTGTCTTTGCTGTTAAGAAGGAGAGTGATCCAACAATGGGGAAGAAACATCTAAATCTTGTATTTTGTGGCCGGAAGGAATGCACAGCCTACAAGGAACATGACATCCCTTTTTTAATTCAGTGGCTTATCACATTTGTTCCTCACAGCACAGTAAAAGGTAAACCCCTTTAAAAAGGGTTTGTGTGGTAAGAAGCGGAGCTAGGCAGGCATGCTGTCAACTCAACCAAGATGGATTTACCATGGGAGAATCTGTTTTAGGAGATACATGTGATAACAATCTCTGTCTATTAATCATGGGGAAAGTGTCTAGTCCATTAGTCATGGAAAGTATCCAAGTCCAGACATATTTCAGAATCCTACTACTAACACAATCTCTGGGTATTTTGACTGATGAAAGAACAGAACTTGGAAAAGTTGTAGAAAACTTGAAGTTCATTTCCAGAATTTCCCACCCAGCATCTTGACCCTTTTGAAATTAAAAAGCAGCATTTCCAAACTCTACAAAATAATGACTTTAGGAAAGTCATTACCCTAGAGAAATGCATCAGATCTCATGACAAATAACTGATAGCTATCAGTATCACAGAATATTTGAGGGAAGGTTTCTTCGAAAGTTATGGCTCTCATTGACAACTGCACAGGCGACAGTCCCAGCCCAGCCCTAGAATTTGTGTTGTTGTTGCTGCTGCTGCTATTGTTATGTGCCTTCAAGTTTCCAGGGCCGCAACCGTTAAGCAATTGGGAGACCAAAACCTTTGCCAATCTACAGAGAATTTAGCAGAGAATTTAAAAAATAGAATCATAGTGTTGGAAGAGACCACATGGGCCATTCAGTCCAACTTCCTGCCATGTGGAAAAGTACAATCAAGGCACCCTCAACAGATGGCCATACAGCCCGTTTAAAAGCCTCCAAAGAAGAATCCTCCATTACACTCCGAGACAGAAGCCCCTTCCACAGGGCTGTATAAAATCAACATTGAACTAGATTATATGGCAGTGTGGACTCAGATAATCCAGTTCAAAGCAGATACTATGGATTATCTGCCTTGATATTCTGGATTATATGGCTGTGTGGAAGGGTCCAGAGAGTTCCACTGCTGAACAGCTCTTACATTCAGGAAGGTCTTCCTAATGTTAAGGTGGAATTTCCTTTCTTGTAATTTGAGCCCATTGGTCCAAGTCCTAGTCTCCAGGGCATCAGAAAACAAGCCTACTCCTTCTTCCTTATGTCATCCCATGAAATGTTTAAATATGACTCCCATGTGTCTCCTCTCAACCCTTCTTCTGTGGGCTAAACATCTCCAGCTCTTTAAGCTGCTCCTCTCCAGAACTTTGATCATTTTAACCTCCTCCTCTGGCTACGCTCCAGCTTATCAGTATCTTTACTGAGTTATGGTGACCAGAACCAGACACAGTGTTATTCCAGGTGAGATCTAACCAAAGCAGAATAGAGGGACACCATGACTTCCCTCCTAAGATTCTCATCAAGTTAAGGGTCCCACAATTTCACAGGATGACAAGATAGCAGACAAAGGAACATCAATCATGTATAATACATATTATTTTTAAAGACATAGCAAAAGTCATTTTAAACATTCCTGGATGAATTTGCTTCTTTCTTTTTCACTCTTTTCTTTGCATAACAGCATTGTTTCTTGTGCATTAATTTATTCATTTTTGGTAATAACACATCCATCATTTTATATTTTTTTTAATGGCAAAATTACTTACCATCTGTAGCCAAGCATTTGTAATCAAGACCTGATTCTTTTCATCCTTGAAAAAAAAGTGGTAGGAAAAGTAATTAAAAAGTTTTCCTCAATGTATAATTTCATTCACATTTTGCCTCAGGCTGGTTCTTAGGAAAATACATTCAATATCAGAAGCTCGTGATGTAAAATGTGTTTGTGTCATGCACAAGAAGCATCTACAACAAAATATTGCAGTGTGGACTGCTCCTATACATGGTCCCAGGTGCTACCTTACATTCTGTGTGCCTTTTTTCAACAGTCACTATCCCATATTGGAATGGTTTTGGGGTGTTTTTTTTTGTTTTGTTTTATAAAAATATATTTAATTCTACAAAGTTTGTAATTTCCTTAAGCCTGCATTCCCCACTGTGCGTGGATGGTGCTTTTCTATTGCATAATGACAGACCCAGTGAGAATCAAGATCACAACCCAGAGTTTGGGGAAGTTACTCTTTAGAATCATAGAGTTGGAAGAGACCTTGAGGATCATCCAGTCCAACTCCCTGCCAAGAAGCAGGAAAATCGCATTCAAAGCACCCCTGACAGATGGCCATCTAGATTCTGCTTAAAAGCTTCCAAAGAAGGAGCCCTCACCACACTCCAGGGCAAAGTTCTCCTTACAGTTAGAAAGTTCTTCCTCGTGTTCAGGTGGAATCTCCTTTCCTGTAGTTTGAAGCCATTGCTCCGCGTCCTAGTCTCCAGGGCAGCAGAAAACAAGATTGCTCCCTCCTCCCTATGACTTCTCTTCACATAGTTATACATGGCCCTCATCATGTCTCCTCTCAGCCTTCTCTTCTGCCCTGCTCTTTAAGCTGCTCCTCATAGGGCTTGTTCTCCAGGCCCCTGATCATTTTAGTTGCCATCCTCTGGACACATTCCAGCTTGTCAACATCTCCCTTCAATTGTGGTGCGGGTTTAATTCCAGGTGTGGTCTGACCAAGAACAGAGGGGTAGCATGACTTCTCTGGATCAAGACACTATACTCCTATTTATGCAGGATAAAATCCCATTGGCTTTTTTAGCTGCCACATCACATTGTTGGCTCATGTTTAACTTGTTGTCCACAAGGACTCCAAGATCTTTTTCACACGTACTACTGTCGAGCCAGGCATTGTCCCCCATTCTGTATCTTTGCATTTCATTTTCTTAGTTTTGGCCCATCTCTCTAATCTGTTCAGATACTTTTGAATTCCGCTCCTGTGTTCTGGAGTATTAGCTATCCCTCCCAATTTGGTGTCGTCTGCGAATGTGATGATCATGCCTTCCAACCTTTCATCTAATAAATATGTTGAACAGAACCAGGCCCAGGATGGAACCCTGCTGATGGCACTCCACTTGTCACTTCTTTCCAGGAGAACTTACAAAGTTCCTAGATTCTGTGGGCTGCAATCGAAAAATTATATTCTTCTCAGATTAACCTCCAAGATTAGTATAGGCTGTCAGTCTACATAACTATAGATTCTGCACCCATGAACTCATAGCTTGAAAATATCCCCTCCCAAAAAATTCCAAAATAGCAAACACAGATTTTGCAATTTTATAAAAGGGTCACCATTTTTTCTACACCAGTGTGCAAAAATGTTGATATCCATAGGGGATCTGGAACCAAACCCTAGTGGATACCAAGTGCTTACTATATAATAGACAAACTCATATCACTGGGTGGAATACAGAACAACTCGCTCCAACCTCTGGCATTTTAAACAGTCTTCAGATGTTGACTGCAGTTCTTACATGGTCTAAATATATATAACCATATCATTCATTTTAAGTGTGGAAACATTTCTCTGTCATGGAGTCCAGACAAAATATATTAAGAGCTTAGCTGTAGGCTATTACACCATAAACTATAAAAATAAAAAACAGGAAAAAATAGAACTGATGATATAGCACCTGAATGCAAACTATAAGAACAATTTCATTATAGTTACTTAGAATGCATTAAACCTTTCCCTTTGAAATCAAGAAAATATAAAAATGCTCGGCTTTGGCTGTAGCAAGTACTTTCCATAAAGTTTCAACAGAAAGGGAGTGTAAAGTGCATAAGATATTTTGCAGTTAGTGCAATAGAATCTTTATTTTTTGGAAAAAAAATATTAATTCACTCTTTGACTCTATTTTCCAGCCCAGAGACATCAATCTCAGTTGGGCTCTATACTAGAATTAATGCGGTTTGATGCTACCTTAAATGCCATGGCTCATCGCAATGGAATATTAAGATCTGTATTTTGGTGAGGCATCAACACTCTTTGGCAGAAAAGACTAAAGAACTCATAAAATGACAACTCCTATGCCCCCGGTTGCGCAGTGGGTTAAAGCACTGAGCTGCTGAGCTTGTTGACTGAAAGGTCGCAGGTTCAATTCTGTGGAGCGGCGTGAGCTTCCGCTGTCAGCTCTAGCTTCTGCCAACCTAGCAGTTTGAAAACATGCAAATGTGAGGAGATCAATAGGTACCGCTCCAGCGGGAGGTAACAGTGCTCCATGCAGTCATGACCTTGGATGTATCTACGGACAACGCTGGCTCTTCAGCTTAGAAATCAAGATGAGCACCACACCCCAGAGTCAGACATGACTGGACTTAATGTCAGGGGAAAACCTTTACCTTTTACCTTTTTACAATCCCATACCATTGAGCCATGGCAGTTAAAGTGGTGTCAAACTAAACTAAATTTACAGCATAGGTGCATCCAGGATGAGGCATAGATGTACAAAGGCCACTGCAAGAGGAGTTGGGGGTAAAGTTAAAAGTAATAGTAAAGGTTTTCCCTTGACATTAAGTCTAGTCAAGTCTTATTCTAAAGGGTGGTGATCATCTTCATTTCTAAGCCAAAGAACCGGTATTGTCCATAGATGCCTCCTAGGTCATGTGGCTAGCATGACTGCATTGAATGCCATTACCTTCTCACCTGAGTGGTACCTATTAATCTACTCACATTTGCATGTTTTTAAACTACTAGGTTGGCAGAAGCTGGGGCTAATGAGAGGATTCAAACTGCTGACTTTTCAGTCAGCAAGTTCCACAGCTCAGCGGTTTAACCCGCTGTGCCACTGTGGCTCCGGAGTTGAGGATAGGCGATCCAAATATGAAAGACTTCAGGGAGCTTCACTAAATGTAGTTGGCTGCATTGTTTTTAGCTTGACAAGACTATGATAGAGAAGTAGAATGTTCATGTTCAAGGTCTTCATTGAACGCCTAGGAAAACCTTTCGAGCATTTGCACCTTTATGAGCTGCATGGGTAGGATGGGATGAATAAAGCTTCCAGTATTTATCTTCAGACAACATTTTAGGAAATAGACAGATGAAGAGACTATATTACTTAAACAAATAATTAATGATCTTTAAGTAAAGATGAAAAAATTATACACAAATATTTATTCCTTTCTTTTCTTGCTGCATATGAGCACTTATTCCAAACAACTAACCATCAAACAAACAAAACTCCAGCTCTCCTACTGTTCTGTTTATAAATATTTATATTTAGACAATTCAAATATTAAGGAAAGGCACACATTACAGTCCTCATGGGGCGATACTGCTTAAGAATGTAAAGTTGATTCAAGGTTGTATCTTCAACTTCAAAAAGAAGGGGTAATAGTTGAAATAACGTGGCCCGTTTTCAACCCAAATCTTTTGCGTGGTCTCAGAATTTCAAAATTAGAATGCAAAACCATCTGTAGGTGTAAGCTATATTTTAGAGTAAGGAATGGGCAAAGTCACCTTGGAGCATTCCTCGCTGAAAAAACCCATGAAATTCACAGGGTCTCTATAGGTCAATGGGCAATGTGAAGTCACATACGCAGAGTTTTCTTCAAATGGATCGGTATCTTAATTTCTGACCTGAAAAATTAACCTTTCTTCTATACTCATGATAGCACATTATCCTCCACTACACTTGAATGCAGCTAAATAGCTTAATGAAGTAGTTGTGTTTCCTTATGTTCTAAAAGGGTTGGTTTCTATTTGAAACACTTCACAATTCTTTGTTTGTATGCCCTAAATATGATACTATATGGATGAAATACAGAAATTCCATTTTTCCAATAGTGTTCTCAATACTGAACAACTCTTTGTGAGGCTGCTGGAAATTTTATTCTTGAGATTAGTAACTCTTATTAATGCTTTCCTTTTTATCTGTGACTTCCTCTTGTACATGCCTGTGTTGTGATTTTGTCACTGTATAAAGGCTGTATTACGAGGGGTATTTTTTAAGTAAGGTCCGTTTGAACATAAGTACACAATGAAAGTTTATTTCAAAAAAGTAAATTTATTTTCAGAAAGTACATACTTCACTCTATTTTTCGACATAGTTGCCAAGTTTGTTCAAACACTTATCATACCTCTGAACCAATTTTAAAATACCCTCTTCACGAATCCTCGCTTCAACTGAAGCCACCAAATCGTCTGTAATCAAAGAAGGGTGACCAGAGCGGTCCTCATCATGGACGTTGTCACGGCCATCTTTGAATTGTCGTACCCACTTACGCACTTTGCTTTCACTCATAACAGTATCACCGTACACTTCACAAATCTGTTGATGAATTTCTGCAGCAGGCAGGTTCCTTGCTGACAAAAACCGTATCACTGAGTGAATCCCACATGCGGCGGGTGAGTTAATAGTCTTAAACATTTTTAAAGCAAAGAACAGAACCATACAGGTCAGCTACAGAGTGGAAACTGAGCACAGTTGTTCCCGAGGCATGCCGGTATACGACGCATGTGCTCGTTGCAGTATGCGCACAAACTACTAATGTCTACAACAAAACGAACCTTACTTAAAAAATACCCCTCGTATATTGTAAGTAATAGTATTTCCTTAGAAGTATGATGCCTTTATCATATATAGTTAGAAGGTCACTGCAAGAGGAGTTGGGGATAGGAAATCCAAATCGGAAAGACTTGGGTGGGCTTCAGTAAAGGCTAATGAGGGATAACACCCATCAGATAGAGTGGGAAGCTTGTAGCTTTGTATGTGTGTTTTGATTTAATTGTTGCTTAGTTGTAATGGACAGTATGCTGTGCAGTTT